TCTGAAGATGCCGGCCACAGAGACTGGCAAAACGTTGGGAAGAACAACCTTCAGAACACGGCCAAAGAGCCTGAAAAACCCAGAACAACCACTATGTAGAGTATTTGACCTTGGCCATGTCCCTTTAACTGAAAGCAGCTTGCACTTCTGAAATGCTGGATTAATACTTTAATAAATGAACTCTGCATTTAACAAGAGTGTATTTTGACAAGTTCTAAAAATAATTAGGCCTAACCTACATATCCAACTTCCAAAGAATTGTTTGCATGTTCTTACCTTTACGTAATAAGATCTCCAGAATTTCTGTATGCCCGTTCTGTGCTGCCAGGGCTAGAGGTGTGAGCCCATAAGAACTCGGAGGATCTGGGTCTGCTTTAGCAGAAAGCAGAAGCTCTACTATGTCTTTTAGACCTAATCTGGCTGCCTCATGTAAAGCAGTCCGCTTGTTAACACACTGTAGATTGATATCGGCACCAAACTGTATCAGCAAGGAAGCCATTTCATACGATCCATGTGTAATTGCTGCAAAAGATTATGTTTGGGAAAGGAAACAAAGACTTCTTTTAAAAGATGCTGAATTGAAATGCTTATTATCTCTTAAAACCATGGCAGGATCAACTTTTGCTTAGTTAAGTGATACATGGCAATAAAGGTCATATAGCATCATGAGAACTAATGTTAGAGAACCAAATGATTTACTCAGTCCTGGTTTTTAAAATCTCAGCAGATATATTAATCTGTTTTGGGACAAGGTGTTTCAGTGGGGGGCTTTGTTATCCTTCAGGATGGTGCATGAAGAAGGAGAAAATACCTCTCCAAATTGAAGAAATAGCAAGGGATCACGGCGAGGCTCCTAGCCCAGAAATCAGCAGATTGAGGGTATCCTGACTGAGGTAGAGCCAGTTTTCTGTGTAAAGAAAACTATTGTGCTCTCAGCTTGGGTGGCAGTTTTAAAGGCCAGACTTAAAAGCAAAACCTTTGCCACTGTATGAATCTTCCTCTCCAATTTAACTGTTTTCAGAGAGGCAGCCATATTAGTCCATTTCTGTGACAAGAACAAGAAAAACATAACTATTGTGGAGCCTTTGAGACTAAAAATGTCCCTGTAAGCATGCCTTGGCCCACGTGTCTGAAAAAGCGGATTACAGTCCATGAAAAATGTATTTGTCTCAAAAGTGCCACAGTACATATGCACATGATACATTTATTGCTTCTTCTTCAAGTAACCTGATTCTGTGGGCTATCAGCCTTGCAGGAAGAGAAGCATCTCAATGTAAGTGGAGACTACCAGCGATTTGATGCAGCTGCAAATCAGTTAACCCCATTAGTTCACACAAGGCCAACTTTGCTCAGGAGCATCTAACTTTACCATCAGCAATGGCAACTCATTCATGGGGGTGGGAATTTTAAGCTCTAACTTGCAAAGCTAGCTGAATGGTAGTGGTGATGGTGGTAGAGAGCTAAGTTACAGGTTTTAAAAAAAGTAATTTCCTGAGCAGACTATACCATCAATCCTCCTTTCCGTATCTGCCTCATTGATGTCCACAGAATACCCTGTAATCAGAATCACTGTAATGTCACAGTGTTTCCAGAACACTGCATCAGTGCACACCACTATGTCGCTGTGATGCGTCCTGTGACCAATGGATTTTTAACCCTTACGCAAAAGCCAAGGTGAAGGTGGAGAAAAAGGCTATTGTGGTAAGCAAAGATGGTGGAAAGAAAGGGGGTTTGGAAATGTGTAAGGCAGGAATAGGGGGACAGCAGGAGAGCAGAAGCACACTTCAAGAAGGATGCTAACAAATTGGAACAAATTCAGAGAAGGGCGACAAGGATGATCAGGGGCCTGGAAATCAAGCCTTATGAGGAACGGATGAAAGAATTGGGCATGTTTAGCCTTGAGAAAAGAAGACTGAGGGGTGATACGATAGCACTTTTCAAATATTTGAAATGCTGTCATACAGAGGAGGAGTAGGATCTGTTCACGATCATCCCAGAGTGCAGGACACACAACAATGGGCTCAAGTTAAAGGAAGCCAGATTTCGGTTGAATATCAGGAAAATCTTCCTAACTGTTAGAGCAGTACGACAGTGGAACCAGTTACCTCGGGAGTTGGTGAGCGCTCCAACACTGGGGGCATTCAAGAAAAACTTGGATACTCACCTGGCAGATATGCTTTGATTGTATTCCTGCATTGAGCAGGGGGGTGGCCTTGATGGCCTTGTAGGCCCCTTCTAATTTCACTTTTCCATGACTTCTATGATTTTCAAGCCTTACAAAGGGCAGCTGTATTCCAGATCTTTGCATGAAATAATAAGAGAATCTTCTAGATGCACAACCTGTTTTTCATACAGCCACAGTAGTCTGCAAAAACTGCCAGATAAACAATATACGTAATTTGATTTACCAGTAAATAAAGCACAGTCTCCCTCTTCATTCTTAACATTGGGGTTAAATCCATTAAGGAGCAGAAAGTGCACATTTTTCACAAGACATTTGTCTACTGCTACGAACAGAGGAGTTTCTCCTTTCAAATTTGTCTCTTGCCACACAACAGGGTGTGAAGCTGAAAGATAACCATGAGAAATGGAGAAGTATTTAGACTTCTCATCAGCAATCAATGTTAGGTTGAGAAAAAACAAAGCCCACATAGTGTTCACCTTTCAGAATGATTTCAAGAATATTCTTGTTTGGTTGGGCTGCAGCTTCATGCAGAGGAAGGCAACCTTCTGCATCTGTTTCCCGAAAAGCAGAGCCATTCCTCATCAGCTTGAGCAAAACTTCTTCTTCACCTGTTGAGTGTGTGAACAGTCAGAACAATTGGTATATATGCTCTTTAAAGCCAGCATTCTAAATATTAATGTAATCTTACTGAATTTAGCAGTTGGGGACACTGGAGTTTTGAGTATTTTTGTTCACAGTTGTGCCCAGAGCTACACTTGGGGCCTGAGAATCAAAATAATAAAAAAGGCTGCTTCACATATACATTATTTGATTTCTGAGCAATAGATGATTTGTTATGACCTGTGATTCAAATCCTAAGTAATCCTCCAATGAAACCAAAGCAAATACTTAACTCTCTGAATTGCAGTGACTATCTCCCTGTGTTTTTCACTTGTGGGAAAATTAAGGCTGCAAAGAGAAAAAAAAACAAAAGAGTTGTTAAACAAATCATCTCCATTCTCATACTGCTTCTTAGTCTATGAGGTAAAAAATAGAGGGGAAAAGTTTAGATCCAATTGTTGTTGCACACTGTCCAGTTGCTTCTGACTTTAAAGGGGACATATTTGTATTCTTGTGGCTCTGAGATGCAATCCTACACGCTCTCCAGAATAAGCTCCTGTTGGCTATTTGCAAGACCAAGCAAAGGAATCTGCTAATTTTCTGATGTGCATATTAGACATTTCCCTCCCTTTTCAAATCCCTTTCCCTTTTCACATCGATTCGGAAAACCAAATGATTCAACTCCCCTTATCACAGGCACATTTGTGGGCCAGGATCAGAAGAAGCAGGACACTGATCCTACTGGCAGCTTACCAGGATGGCTGGAGGTTGTGGGGAGAGGAGGATGGGCAGCAAGTGCGATGCCAAGGCTCTTTGGTCCGGTCTTCATGCTCTCTTGTTTGGGAGTCTTAATATTGTAATATCTTGTGCTGCAAAATTTTAGCCTTCCAAATTTCACAAGATCTCATCAAGTTTGTTGAGGAATATCTAGGAAGGACTAGGGAAAACTCCTACCTGAAAACCTGAATGGTTGTTGGCAGTCAGAGTCAACAGTGCTGGAATATACAGCCTAGCAGTCCTACTCAGTATAAGGCAGCCTCTCATATTCCTATATTCTTCGTCTGCCCTTAACAATTATTCCATTTAGCAGCATGCTTTATAGCAGTGGTCCCCAACCTTGGGCCTCCAGATGTTCTTGAACTTCAACTCCTAGAAATCCTGGCCAGCAGAGATGGTGGCGAAGGCTTCTGGGAGTTGTAGTCCAAGACCATCTGGAGGCCCAAGGTTGGGGACCACTGCTTTATAGCAATATTGTGATCCTTTATCTTGGCTCCAGCATGTATCTTCCAAACTGTTGTTGCTGGCCTCAAAGGAAGGGGAAGCAACAGTCAAGCGGCATCTGCGGTCCTTAAATGCTGCTCCAAGAGTTCCCTCCCTTCAACCACTATCTGCTATTCTGTGGGGCCACTAAAAAGTAGCAGCCCTTCCAAAGGGCTCAAAACCAGCTCTAGTACCTGTTGAATGTATTACATGTAGAGATGGAGTATTTGACCGCTGCTGCGAGCTGCTACGTGCCCCTCAGCTGCCACCAGTTGATTACATCAACATTACCTATTATTAATGTTAGATGTCCAGGCCATATGACATTTTAAAAGAACCTTCAAGTACCTAGGAGTGCATTTCGATGAGAAAAACTACTGGAAATCCCAGATACACAGCACCAAAATATCAGTTCAGAAATCTAGTCATGCTTTGGCCCAATTTTTCCATTCTAAAGGTGGTAACCTAGTAATCCCAGCTTTAGAAGTATTTTCAGGGAGGGCGATCTCTCAAATGCTTTATGGAATTGAGATCTGGGGTATGAATCACAATAACCTACACCATCTTGAAGTAGGAAAGAACAGGTTTCTGACACATCCTTGCAGCACCTCGGGGGATCCTGGCAGCTTTTCTGAGAACAGAGGCAGGCATGGTGTCCATTAAAGCCAGGGCAGCTCTAACCATATTCTCCTGCTGTTAAGAGGGTGATGGATATGTCTGATCACCATCTACCTAAATGCTGTATGGTAGAGCAATGGAAGAGTGGTGGCTGAGCAACTTCAGTTCAAACCTTATTAAAATCTAAATCCCTCTCCTCAGATATTTTTTTTCCTGGGGTTAAAAGAATGTTGAGGGATTGGATCTACAAACTGAATAATGACCAGGACTCTTCAAATTTCTCTTACTGGTACCAACTGCTGAAAATAAACCACTCAAGGGCACAATACTTACATAGACTTACTTTTGCCTCCCTGAGAACAGCATTCACAGAACTTCGTTTTCAAACCATGCCAACTGCTGTCTTAGACAGCAGGTACATGAATGTCCCTAAACATCTAAGGCTGTGTATTTGTGGAGCAGGTGAGATAGAGGATGTTGTCCACTCTCTACTCAACTGTCAGCTCTATCAAAACCATAGAGAAAAATTCCTAGGTAACATTTTGGCTGCCCTACACTCAGATAAAGGTGGGCAGGTTAATTTTGGACTGTGACCCATATGTTACATACAGAACAGCGCTGTTTGTAAAAGCAGCCAGAAATATCCACTATAATTTCCTGAGAGCCATCACGATCAATTGTGTGAGGGACTCCCAGATATGAAAAGGGCAGCGACACGTACCCTCCTGATTTTCTCTCTCTCTCATTATTTTACATGTCTGTGATTTTATCATGATTTTACATGATCATATTTGTATCTCAATCAATTGTGACGGCTTTTAGCCAACACAATAAACTTAAACTTGGAACTTGGAAAAGAAACAAATATTGTTTATTGTTACAGATGTTGGTAGAATAAACAATGTTGTTAATTCTTAAACAAACATTCTCTTTTATCCCTCTCAACCACCACTCTCCCACCCAAATCCTAAAACTCTCTCAACTCTCTAACTCAGAGGTCCCCAACCCCCAGTCTGTGGCCCGGTGATGGTCTGTGGCCTGAGCCGGACTGGGCTGCGAAGACAGACCTCCTGCCCCCCCGCATGCACTCACCCCCGCACAGCCTGTTTGTGCCTGCGTGCGCGCTCCAGCATGCCCGTGTGAGCGCTGTGCCACTGTTTGTGCATGTGCATGAGCATGAGCACGCCCGCACAAGCACCACACTGCCATTTATGCATGTGCATGAGCATGCATGTTTGTGCATGAGAGCATGCTCATTTGTGCATGCGCACAAGTGTGGGGGTGCCCCGCCTTCCCCAGCCGGTCCATGGGGTGAAAAAGGTTGGGGATCCCTGCATTCACCCTCCTCTTGCTGAGTCTTATATTTTGTGACTCCACCCCTCCAGCACTCCCATTAGTCTATGCAGATAACATATGAATATTCATGACCTCAGCGGACACCACACCTTCCTATCACTCCATTGCTTGCAATGGATTAGCCACTATGTGACCTGACAGAGAGGCTCATTCTGGTATCCGCCCAGGTCATAAATATTAATGGGCTATCTGCATGTACCAATGAGAGTGCTGGAGAGGCAGAGTCACCTGATGTAAGAGTCTCTGCAGGAGGGGGAGATGGGAGGATTTGTGGTTTTGGAGTTTGGAGTGGAGAGAGGGTTGGCAGTTGAGAGTGGATGAAGTAGGGTGTTCTGTTACAAATTAACAACATTGATTGTACCTTCATCACCTGTAATAAGAAACAACTTCTATTTGATTCTTTTTAAAATGACACATTGCCTGGGCCTCTGTCATTAATAATAAACAATATTGATGTAGTCAACTGGTGGCAGCGACACGACATGTAGCTTGTGCCCTTTCCTTGGTGAAAGAACCAAGGAACAGGTGGGAATGTGACACTTGTCATCCCGCCTTCTGCCAGGACTGGTAATCTATCGCGAGCAACGGAACGACAGGAAGGCTCCGTGCAGCTTGCAGCGGTGGCGAAATTGTGAGTGGTTGGTCTGGCCCCAGGGAGCTGGACCTTTGTTATCTGCACCTGTGGGGGGGATTTCATACACAAATACCCCATCTCTAATTAAACTGAAGTGACTTTGTGCTAAGTTTTATGAAAAAGAAAGAGCATTTGCTTTTTCCTCTTTCCTCCCAGTTCCTTTCCCTCTTCTGAAGTGTACTTTAGGTTTCAAACCTGTTAGCAGGAACTGCCTCAATTGGAATGGTAAGGCCTTCTGGTGGGCTCTTTGGATGAAGAGTGTAACTAGAAAGAAAGAATCACTGAACATTGTTCTGCAAACAATTAATTTTAAAAAAACCTATGTAATGACAAACTATAGGCTTTTGTGCCAGTCACATCACAACTACTAGAAGCAAAATCCAAGACAACATACCTGTCATTCTTTGATGTAGTCACTGTTCCCCTCTTGTGACTATCCTGGAAGCTTTGTTGAATGACGTACTGTGTAGGTATATCATCATCAACATCATCATCATATGTATTTGTACTATCGTACATATTAAAACCATGTAACTTAGATCATAAAACTCGGGTAAGATTAAATAGTTGTTAGATTATTCTGTTGTTCCTTCTTCTGTAACCATATACATGGGGAAGAGAAGATGTAGTGATAAGCTGAATGACCAAAGTGGTCAAAACAATAAAAGCACAAGGACAAGATAAGTCAGGACTGCAACGATTTCTGATTGATTGAACAAAACCAAACAAAAGTGATCTCTGTATCGTAGGTACTGACTCAACTGGCAGACGTTTTGGAAAAAAGATGATTAGCATTCTTCTCCAAAGCATCTAGTTCTGGCTCTCCATGTACAAATTTCTAGTGCATAGTTGGAAGATGTGCTCCTTGAAGTGATAAAAGATGTCTGCTTTTCATAGCTCAAAGTTGTTTTCCACCATGTAGTTTGTATTTAGCAAGTTTTGCTTTCTGATTTATCATTGACAGGTAAACGTAATGTTCAAATCTAGTTCATGAAGCACATATTAAACCTCTATTGGTGACAAACACAAACTTAATGTTCAAATCTAATTTATGAAGCACATATTAAACCTCTATTGGTGAGAGGGAAAACATGTTAAAACCAGGGAATACGAATTTCCCTTAACATTTATTTTGGCATATAAGAACTAATAATTCTGTGCCATCAGGTGATTCCAACTTATGGTGACCTTTTCTAGGTATAGAAATGGGTCGACATATGGATGCACAGGAAAATAATACACTCGAAGGCTATGCTGACTTCCAAGATTCCTGACATGGCTTCTGCTTGATCAGAGGTACTTCTGGTACCTGATAGTTAGCTGCTTCCTGTGTTAAATACTGTTGTGAGCATTTTTACAATGTGAAGATTTGGTCTCCTTCTAGTCAAAACTAATGTTTTGGACAATGTTAACTTTGTCTAACGCAACCACATAAAACTACCAAGCTTCCAAAACATTATTGGAAACACTGGCTTTAAAAAAACAAAAATAAAGTCCATAAACAATACAGAATTGGCCTGAAAAACCATGATCACATTTCTAAATAGCACCAGATTTTTTTTAAACATTGGGTCAGCACCGGACTCTTTAACATTTTTAAGAGCTATGTACTGATGCCAAAACAATACTAAATTGTAGCACTGCCTGACCATAGAAATTGGAATAAAGAAAATTTAGTGTCAACCATGTACACTGCTGCAAGTCATGTAAAAATTATCAAAATCATTCAAGTAGTCATAAAACTAATAAGAAAAACCTCAGCATCTAGTTTACCTTTGGATTTGTTACATTTGGATTACATACTTGATTCGGTGGATTACATACTTGATTCAGTGGATTAAAAACCATTAGACTTTAGTAACAATAGAGACTGTATTTAACATTTAACAATTTAAAATTGAAATAATGGAGAAAATAGTTGACTAAATTCAATTGATAATCTTAAACATTGGAATCTTGTTCCCATTATGTCACCAACTGCTATTCAGGAAAGTTGGAAATACTGTCACAGCTTTTTGTATGTATCGTTAAGTTGTTGGTATGCATAAAACAATTATGATTATGAATGCAATTTAACATTCTTTAATTTATTGTTTTATGAGCATAGAATTTTATTCATTGTCTTCTCCATTCCTTGTTTTTAATAGCCCTCAAAGGTGGCCACAAGTTACTCAATTGGCCAAAACACATTAAGCCCTTTTAGTGAGTCAACCCATTTCCCCACAACTTGAGATTACATCTCTTCTCTAATTTTGTTTTTAGAAAATATTTTCAGTTTCTTTTGGTTTTAACTACTTCATTAAAATAATATATACAAAACTGGAACAAGATAGGCTGTAACATGTGAGAACTACACTCAGCTCAGTGGCAACAGTCTGATTGTTATGAATGCCTCTGGACCATATCAGTTTCCCCAGTTTGAAAAACAAACCATTATCCTATAAACTGATTAAAAACATTACTGGTTAAAACAATGAAATGAACTAATGTAGTCACTAAGACAGGATCTTCTCCTCTCCCTTTCACATGTGAATGTGAGCAATTCCTTCCAATGGACTCCCTCTCCTCCCCCAATGGCATTTTTGAACCTGTTCATAGTTCTTGATTAGGTGGGTCATAGACTGGGGTCATGTCCACTTAAAATAAGACTTTAATGCAGTGGTTCCCAACCTTGGGTTAACCCAGCCTTCACCACCAGCTATTTTGGCTGGGGTTTCTGGGAGCTGCAGTCCAAGAGCACCCGGGGTACCCAAGTTTGAGAATCACCGTTTATAGCAAAACCACACAACATTTAGACCCATAAACTAGATTTAATAAAGGGATACAGAAAGGTAAGGAGAGACAAGAACAGATACTTATAGTACCAAGCTGATTCTCTGTAGAAAACACAGGCACTTACCCTGCATATTGATTTTTTTCTCTCTCTGAATCTTTTTCTGTTACTCTTTAGGAAATACTTTTATATATTGAAAAGAAAGCTTCAGGGTTTTGCCCATTCATATATGAAAAAAGTTACAAATGTTTTAAAATTAAGTAGGTGATAGGCAATTTGAAAACAGGAAGTTATTTATCCACACATTTGCCACATTTATTGCCATATCAAATACTGAGAAACTGGTACCACTTAAGAACCACATCAGAACCAGCAAAGCATGCAAAGAAGCACCTTTTTTGTACTCTGGCTTGAACAAGATTTAACAAAATTACAGTAGTACATGGAGACATTTAAATTCTTACTGTTCTTGGGAAAATATACTGTATACTGTTAACATTTCACATATGTACATGGTTTTAAAACATGACAGCACTAAACATTCTTCTCACCTTTCTTCCACATTCAGAACAGAAAAGACTTCATAGTCTAGATAACATGTTAAGACTAAATGTGACGTTTGATGTATTGAAAAGTGATCCTCTGCTTCTTGCATAGTCCATATCCATTAATAACTTACTATAAATACCTGACCACAAGACTCGCTGTGAGGATTACATGCAGGTCACCAGTATTCAGAGACATGACCCTGATTTAAGTAAAAAAGATCAAACAGCCAGACAGCCCTCATCAAGATAGCTACATGTCATTAGAGGTAAAGAACAGAACTAGCAAATGCATAGGCTTGTACTTAAGTTTTTAACATAAATAGTTTGTATCAGACGAAAAATCACAGCTGACCTTTCAGATAATCTCCCACCTTTTGTACACAATTGGACATGCATCACCCAAATTAAACTATTTTTAATTCAGCTCCAGTTATTTTATGGAAGAGGATTAAACATCTCCTTAGTTCTGCCACTGAACTCAATAGTACAGTACTTAACTGTGCTTAACTCTGGCAACACATATTTAATGTTATTTCAAATAAGAAAATATTGTGCTCTGCTTTATTTACATATTTTTCCAAGCTGTTGTACCTGAATCAGCACAAATTATTTATCAATATAACATCATAGCCTGTCATTTTGCCATCTTTTAGTTGAAAAAACAAGACAGAAAACATTTTAATTATGTCTCTATCCTTTCTCCACTCTCTGGAAGTAAATAAGCTCCATGCTTCTCCAAGATTTCCTCTGAAGCTCTGGGCGTTGGGTTACTGACTTTCCACAACAGGTGTTTTAGCACTGAGTGTGTTCCACTGATGGGTAGCTGGCACTAGTACATATTGACTATTATCTTCCAGGTACCAAGCACTGGTAGTGATTACTACTGTTAGCTAAATTCAAAGTTTTGAAACAGAATTAACAGGTCCAACTGTCTCACTTACGATACAAATTTGATGCTGCACTATATGTGTTCTATTTCCATATAATGTGATGACTTTGATCCAAAGAGTCTGATTGGATGTGAAGGGTAACTGTATTGTTTTGGAAAAGGTATATTAGTTAATGTAATGGCATGACAATTTTGTACTTGCCACTGGCTATGTTTGAATGCTTGTACCTTTCATCAATGGAATAAAGCTTTTGAATGACCTCACTTATTCATGTGCTTGGGCTTCTCACCTTTCCCTCAGCAAGGGAAGACCTAGGGGCTCACAAAAAGGTTTTCAGGCAACATTACCATGCCTACTGTCTGACGTAGCTGGCATTTTTGGCTTTCCTCTGATGTCTAGCACCACTTCTCTGGCTGTTCCTGACAGAGCACGTTACCATAGTCTCTGGAGACTGAAGGACGCCTAATCTAATGTGCCTGCCAATAGGAAAGAGCAGCAGGAAAGCAAGCAGCAGGAGCACGGTGACATCCCAGCACTGATTAGGTCACTATTTGCATGTTGATTAGCAGCTTTTCTACTAACAGTTAAAGTTCCAAGGTCAGCTGCCTCATGGGTCATAAACTAGACAGGCAACAGCAACTCCAGGCATCAAGCAGTGCAGAAGCTAAACAAAAACAAACACACGAATCAGATACCTTTCCAACTCCAGAAGACATCCTGGCACTGGACTAGGCTGTTGTGGGGAGAGGAAATACAGTAAAGAGGAACTGAGGAAAGAGGAGAGCCCATGTGGTGTGGTGGACAGAGTGCCAAACAAAGACTCAGGAGACCAGGCTTATAAAACATGGGAAATACACCTGTCCCATGTGGTCTTCTAAAAACATTCTAGCCACTCTAGAAGCTGATACATCAATGTAAGACTGTGTGCATACTACTGTAATCAAATCCAATCATGTACATACAGTTTGCAAATCCATGCATAAATGAGAAAGACAAAAAGAGTATGGAAATGGCTTTCTTTGGAGCCATCCCTTTTGCAGTGCTTCACAGTGGCAATTTCTAAATGTTTGGCATCATCCTCACCTCTGTTGGCAGAAAAGGAGAAGAATGTGTGAAGTTGACTTTGCTGGTGTACATGCATGTCTATGGGTGTTTATCTGTGTGCTGATATGTTAGTAACTGGAGCTATGTGTGCATATGTCTGAAGGATCTGTGCATGTCAGAGAGGTGGGAGGTGAGAATAGTTTCATTTGGAGCAATTCTATAGAATACTGGCAGTCCCACTTCCTATGCTCCAGATCAGATACAGACTGGTAGGGGCCATACCTAAAGACTGCCTCTTTTCCAGTACAGTATGTTCTGCAGAAAAATTCTGCATGATCAGACCTTTCTGCAGATGAAAAGAACGTCCATTTATACAAGCTGGGTTTGGAGTCACGCCATTAGCTGTGTATAAGAGTTAAAGTTGAGAGAAAGAAGCAGAAGGATGCAGGTTATTCTTTACCAACTTCAGAACTAATACACTGATGACACACTGAGTCAAAATACACACTAAAATTGATTCTTTTATTATACAAGAACAGAAACATACACCCACATTTTTACAGAGAAATAATGACTATGTAGTGCAATAAATTTAGAAACTCGTGTTATCAAAAGCTGGTTGTTTAACGAAAGGATACAAACATATGCACTCCTGCCTTGTTTGATTCCAAATCTTACAGAATCAGTCATCTAGCTGGCAAAGCAGAGCAACCCCTCTTTTAATCCAGTGCTGGACTGGTTTATCAGTTAATAGCATTAATGCAATAACAAAGTTAGTAGAATGCCCAGTGGTTGAAAGGGTTCCTTTACGTTCACTTGTCTTGTAGAGCGGACACATGTAGGCATTTGTTTTCTTTATGTCTGCTTTTTTTGCTTTAAGGACAAAAGGGGAAAAACATGTTACAAATTATAAATGGAACTACTGTACTTGTACAAAATGTGTTTCTCTTCCTTTCAACTGTGTCAAGCACATTGTTCAACTTCATTTGAACAACTAGAAATAGACTACACTGGAACACACCACAGCCAACTTCTAACATCAGTAAGATCTTGGGTAGTGCTTAAGACAGACTGGGAAACCAATTTATGGTTTCTGTCTTTGTTTGGCAGCCATCCAACATGTGGCACTGGGCCTAGAAATGGCCAGAAACAGCCTTTAAAAAACAAAACCCTAACGTGCATATTATCACCCATGGATAACTACACCAAGCCTCCCATCTGTACAGTAACTGGGAACCGTTCTATGCCAGTGGCATTTTTGTTCCACACAGGACAGCCTGGCATTCAAAATAAGTGATGGGTCCTACAACGTTGGCAGACTGCAAACCTGATCCTTACATATGGAGGCATTAATTCCTTTGCCTGTAGCCTAAAATTAAGCGCAACAATTTCATGAGGTGGCTCAAATTTTTTTTGTCACTGACACTAAAGCATATACTGTATGTCCAATGAAACAGAGTGCAGCATCTATGTAATCTCAGCTCACACATGTGTAACAGTTACTTCACATGTAAAATGACTGCATGCAACTCTTAGAGGCTTGCAATGTGGTCCAAACAAGAGACCAGGCCACTTCTCTTTCTCCTAGCCTAGTCTAGGAAGCAAGAAACATGCATTGCTGACAGAGCCATGAATTTCTGGTGACATAAACAACTGACTTTCAGCCTGTGCAAAATATTTAGATACACTGAAATGAAATCTACAGTTTAAGTAAAAATTACAAAGTCACAGAATGAAAACCTGAATGGGATCTGCATATTGTTATAAAATAAGAAGAATGAAACAATGCTAGTAAACAATTTGCCATGGTTCGATTTTACTTACTTGGTTTTATCCAAATAATCGGCATCGTGTCAAAGAGTATCTTAGGGTGTTGTTCACCTAGAAGGCCTCTGGAGAAATAAACAAATCATCTGTGAAAAAAATCTAAAAATAACAGACATAGCAATAGAATTTGTGTGGGATGGTGTAAGAAAATCTGACGAAAGAAATAAGAAAATGGAAAAATAAAGAACCATGTGAAAGAAGCTCCAGACAATGTTAGATGGAAGCTCAAAATGTGTTCATACAGTGATACTTTACACCAACTTAAAAGTATAAGTTGCTACTCTAAGCACTGTAAGGTACTACTACCTTTGGGATATATGCCTAATACTCCTACATTTAAAGCAGAAATTTGGCTCTAAATTCACTGAACAAATAATATTTCGTTTTATAGTTTATAAAATAGTTTTGATCACCAGAACAACTAAAAATATTATTTTTATTGTTCTATTTAAATTGTCAAAGAAAGAAGAAGAGTAGTAAGCAGAGCTTGGAATCTTGGTATTAAAAATTAATTAGTTAATGTTCAACATTAAAAATGAGAAAATTAACTACTAACAATGAAAAATAAAAATCATTAGTTCTCCTCCCTTGTGTAGAATGGAGATATTATTTAACATTTTCTCCTCCCCAAAGGGAAATGATTCTACATCTCCCTTCTAAAATTAAATGTATAGTAGGAATCCAAGCTCGACCCTGTAAATGCATTAGGACTACAGTACCCAGGAGGTTTAGTTACATTCATTCAGAACTTAGAACATTTCACAGGGTTTTGGGGATTTACAGTCTAAGACCATCAAAGCCATATTTGAAATCCCATATTTATTTTCAGTTATAGACACTGCTTTTGAACCAATTAAAGTTCAGTAGGAATTGGTCACCAGCGTGTCTCAGCAGTTACTATTTTTATTGCTGTCATCATGGTTATTATATCAGGCAAAAAAAAAATAATGAAGACAAAAACATTGTGGCACTTTAAAGACTAACTGATATATTTTAATGTGAGTTTTTGTGGACAAGTCCACTTCCTCAGACCTGGCCGTTATGTCATGCAGCATGACTAAAACAACAAAACATAGCAAAACCTAATAGACTTAACAGTCTAAAACATAGGAAACAGATTACAACAAAGTGGTTGGAAACACAGGTAAAATTAGCAGCATCCAAAAGCCGGTCAAAACAGTATCGCCTTACACCCTCTCTTGAGTCCCTGCACAGGGGTCATATTCACAGAGGCTCAGAGAGAGAGGCAACAAAATGAAATCATCTTCTTTGGCTGGAAGGCACTTTGGACTGGGTCACGAGATGTCTGTGGCCAGAGCTCCTTGCATTTTCAGCCACACCTTCTTACAGGGTGAAGCCAGACAAGTGTACCTGGAAATGGGTAATTTGCTATCTGGAGCATGTCTATCAAAAACTGATATACATTACTTTTCAGATATAATTTTTAGACGATCAAATAGGCCCCCAAACAATGAGGTTCACTTTAATTCCAAAGGATTATTTTCAAGTTCTGATATTAAAACACAATTTTAGTAATAAAAGATGTCAGGTTGAATATTAGCATATAGAAAAACTTGTGGGGAAGCATTTTTTTACATGTGCCCAATCATGCACATGTACTGACTTGCTGACCTTGCTCTGTCCCAGCGAGCCCCATCTAAAAATAATCCGTGGATATAAACACCATCTTCTGGAGCAACATTTGAAGTGTCTTTAGGAATAACCTGAATGGAATGGAATTAAAAAACAAATAAAGTCTCAAAGCAGTTTTACTTCATACTTTGATACTTTGTTGGTATATAAGACATGACTTATGCAGTTTCTCTATTTAAGTGTTTGACAGCATCAGTCATCTACTGATTAGACAAATGAGTGAGATGGCCTGGAGTGAGGTGCCCCAGGATTCTAGTCCAGTGGTTCCCAACCTTGGGCGTTCTTGGACAACTACAATTCCCAGAAGCCTTCACAATCAGCAATGTTGGCTGAGGTTTCTGGGAATTACAATTGAAGAAAACATGGATTACACAAAATTGGGAACCACTGTTCTAGTCAGCATTATGCTGGCTGTACAGTCTAGGTCTGTAGAGCCAATATAAAAGATAAATAGCCATAAGACAGAAGAACATACATCTTAAAATTAACCACCTACTGGTTATAAATAAATAAATAAAGTTAGTCTTCTGCATTGTAATGAGGTATATTTTAATTATTCTGCATTACAAGAATTGCTTATAAGTTTGTATTTAGCACATACAACTTTAATTCAAATATTTGTGCTCCTCTTCCTCCTATTTTTGATTATATATATGCACTCACTCTAAACGCACACATAAATTCCTAGTTTCACGTGCAAATCACTCAACCTGAAAACCACTGGGATTTTTTTTAAGATTCTTGTGTATTTAAGGTCTCCTGTTCCCAGACCCCACTTCCTGTTCATATTTAATAAGAGATTGGTCTTTATACATATCAGAGTGTTACACAATCTAAAATTATGGATAAATATGAAATATGAGTAAAAATTAAAAACAGATTAAAATGTTAAAATAGACTTTTTTAAAAAAACAGAAGTGGGCTACCTCAATAATGCTATCTTGGCCATTTACTACATCTTCTTTTGTACATGTGGTGGGGCATAAATTACATACAAATAGTGCACTGATTGAATTTCTCCCCAGAGATCAGTAATTAATGCCATCTTAACTGACCCAATAGTTTCAGAAGATGCCACTATAGTAACTTTATGCACATGTTACTGTAAGGGGATAAGATTTTTCCAGGAATGGGTGCACTTTACTACCCTAATTCATACTGTGTAAATGCATTCCTGGCCATCTGCGAAATGTGGGCATCTGAATCTGATGGGTCAGAGACACATGATGTCATCTAAGACGGATTAATTATCAGATCCTGCAGCATGCCGAGTAAGAGGCTATATAAGGCCTTTTCAGGAGCCTCATGAAGCCTGAGACAGCAAGAGCTACCTCTGGATATGGCAGACCTAGACTGGATGGTTCAGCTCACAATATTCAGACTAGATGGTGCCATAACCTTGATGGCATTCTGGACACAGGAAACCTGGTGTTGTTAAGAAAACAGAGTGCTCTTGGTTAAGGGGCTCTAACTGGACTGAATTATACCCAAACAACCCTTAATAAGTCAAAAGTGTCAGAGGCAAAGAAAATAAATGCAAGAAAACCCGAAATGGAAAACCTGATCCTCATTCAAAGGATCAGAAACAGTAGGGTAATTTCAAGAGAGTTTTCAATCTGTGATTAAAAGGCAATTCATTTCTGAACTGCTCAGTCATGAGCAAAAGGAGGCATCAGAATGTGTAAGCCCCTCGAGAAGACATTTTCAGAATAGGTCTTTGCTGAAAGTGAGTAACTTTACTGAAGTATGTTAGTCACAGAAAAGGACACTGGCATAATACTGTGCTATATTATTTTTACCCTGCCTTTCACTATGAATGACCCAATATTGTATGTTGTGTGAAACACGACAGTGAGCTCTCTTGTCAAACCACCTGCTTCTTATAAACCATCTTAATTTCAAAGATGGTTTGCAAACGTACTAAGGTTGTCTAACAACAGTAAGGTCAATATCTCTTTCGCTTGTGACAATAATTTATGTCAAAATGAGCAGATTTTGCCATTGTAATACCAATCAAAATAAGTGCAGAAATAAATATGTACTAGCACCCCACTAGTACATATTATTTAACAAATATATGCCTTATTTATACATTGTAGCTTTTACAACTCAGTTATACCTGAAATTCATATCCCAGTAGATCAATAGGGATGGTATACTTCCGAGCATAATTCTGCATCGCTCCAGTTAAAAATGCTTGTGTGAAAAAGAATCCTGACAGCCAGAACACACAGGGCTTTCCAGAGTTATACCAATCCTTGGAACAAAAATAGAAGAATATATTTTTAAAAACCATGCTTTACAAAATCATGTTAACAAATGTTGCCAACAAGTTTATTTATTGATAAATTTAAAATGCTATGGTTTATTACTAATTAAATTAATTAAGTAGAAATTCACAATAACCAGTGCTGCTTTACCTGCAAAAACTTGAGCCTAGCTAGAAAATCAAGAATATAACTCCCCAATGGTTTCAGGCTTGGGTACGAACGTTTGGCCCAATTTTCTGCAACTTTTCCAACAAGGAGACTGCCAGAAAGGGCTTCTAGCTCTGAATCCATCACTACCAGTCCTTTAATAGCTTTCTTCAAATTTATCAAAGTTGTACGTATGGTGCATATTAAACTGAGCAAACAAAAAGAGATGGTGAGGTCAATAGCATGACAATATGTAGACAAATTGCAAGTGACACTGCCTACTAATCTCAGAAATGAAACCGCAGTATTATAAAAATGATACAGTGGTGCTACAAAAACCGTTTTTAAAGAAAAAGTGTAAAGAAGATAAACCAACGAGAGATGCATGGATGCTAGGAAAAATAAACCAGAAGGCTTGCAAATAAGTAAATATATGAAAAGGCACAGTCCTCACTTGTTAAAGCGCTCCATTTCTTGTACCAGCACAGTATTCATACTTTCTTCATATATCACAGGATATTTAAGCAGTGCGGCTTCAATATCATAATCACCTGGAAGCTAAAAATGTTGATATATTTGCTTCAGTTTTGACAAATGCAAATTGGTTTAATTTAATTTCTGTATTGTAATGTTATAAACATTATGAAAAGTCAAGGTGAATGATGGGGATACCAGGCATATTCTATCTGGCACCCAAACACTTATCATTTTAGATGGCACTGTCCTATTTAGATGAGAAATGTAAAAAAGGTTGACAGAACATGTTTCAATTAATTTTTAAATTATCTCTGTATTAATCCTAATTTTGAAAAAAAAAAAACCTGAAAGATTCCATATACCAGTACATTGATTTTGTTAATTTTGTTGTTGTTCTTGTTATATTGTTATACCTTGCTGAGGATGTCATCTGCAATTTCATATAATGTACTGTCACCACTACCGGAAGATCCTCCTTGGGTGCTTCCTCCTTGTGTCAGGATCAAAGACTCAAAGAGGATTTTGGTTTGCTGGAGATCCTTTGATATATCTACATTATCATGCAGGCCAAACACTTCTGGCTGTTGACTGACAGGGAGATTCTAGGGGGGAAAAAACAAAAATGAAATGCTTCAAGTAGTTCTGTAAAGGTTGATTAGTTACCAAGATTTTTACAATGATCAAAATTGGTATCCTGACTATACAGGAACTTGCAGGCCTTTGTGGGGCTGAATGGCTCTGCATGTAAATAGCAGACGATACACTTAATGGAGATTTTACAGGCATACGAAATAAAATGGTGTAAACCCAGCTAGCTTTCCTCTGACCCACTTTCTGCAGTCCTGGTTTCTGACCTTGGTTTTGTGAGCCTGATGGTCAACAGGCATTTAGAAATGTGAAACGCATGGGCCTAATTTCTCTTGGCAGTTCCAACCTGAGAAGACCAATTGAATCCATTGTTGAATGATGCAACTCATTACTGAAGCCACATAAATAAATACTCTAAACCAGTGGTTCTTAACCTTTGTTACTCGGATGTTTTTGAACTGCAACTCTTGAAGCCACTAAAATAAATACTCTAAACCAGTGCTTCCCAACCTTGAGTTCTCAGAGGTTATTGGACCACAACCCCCAGAAATCTTGGCCAGCACAGCTAGTGGTGAAGACTAAACAAACCAGAAAGTTTTACTACGGTTGGTCTCAAGCAGGAGAGGAGTCAGAAACCACTGTACCTCCTAAGGAGAATTTTGAGAAATGCTCGGCAAATCTGTGGTCTTGTGCCACTACACCCAGCTTAAGTGTCCCCTAGCTCCAATATGAACATAAAGTTTATAGTTTTCTGTGATCTATGGTCTTCCATGAAACAAATGTTGGGATGTATGTCAAGCACCAGAGAAGACACAATGCAAAAACCTCTGAAATGGACAGGATCCATAACATTTGGTGGTGGTGGGGAAATGACTTCAACTCAACTTACCCTTATTTCATTTTTTAATGAAGCCCTTGGTAATCCTGGTCTTATTCCAGATCTGGTGATTATTCTGACCCTAAAAATTACCAGTCTATGACCCATTTGCCTATAGTTTATATAGTTTCCATCAATTATTTCCTATATTTACAATTTTATGCAATCACATCTTAAAAGACCAACAGAGACGCTACATAAAGAAATCCTATGGTTGTAAGAAATTGGTGGCTGCTGATTTCTTCATATTGAATCAGGCTCAAAGGAACTAAAAAAATGTATCTAGTTGATAGCTCAGTGAGTTACTTATCTGGCTGCAGAGCCAGAAAATGGGAGTTCAGTTCCCAACTGTGCATCCCAGAAAAGCTAGCCTGTGTGGCCTTGAGCAAGCTGCACAGTCCCAGAGCACCCCATGAGGTGGAAATGGTAAACGTCTTCCAAGTAGAAAACGTTGAAAAGGACTGCTATAAGTCAGAATTGACTTGATGGCATACAGTTATTATTATTATGACCTTTGTTATATTGATTAACAAAATGCATTTGTTTTTGTGTCCCAATCATAGCTTATTGAATTTTGTTAAATATGTTTTCAGAATACACAATAATATGAGAATAAAACAACAAAAAACAGAACTCCAAAAAGAAAATTCAGCTAACACATCAACAAAAGAAAAAGAAGCACAAAATATAGCAGACATGTTCTGTCCCTTGCTACCCACCACCCTCAGGGCTAATTTACTTATTTGTTTTATTATATATTTTGTACCTGCCCCCTTTCTCTTCAGAAACATAATCATTCTTATCCAAGGGTATAATGGCTTACTGAATTTTTGAAGATATACAAAATTGACAACAGAATCATTTATTTATAAACTCATGATGGAGGACAAAATTAAGGTTCAGAGTCCTCCTTTCCAACAGTATCCTAATTAGAACAGGTATTTTTCAGGGTGATTCTTTAAGTCATTTGTGTCTTTCTTTAAATCCCCTGTCTAGACAGCTGAGCAAGGCTACAAAACTAATTATTAGAGAAATAATAATATAAATAGAAGATATTATTTGCAAGCTCTCCTAATAAAATGAATAATCTCCTAAATATTGTCAAGACAGAACAGATAGCAACATGAATTCCAATGCTTAGAGGAGCCTATAATTATCTAGGCCTCAAAGAAAATTTAATTATAAACCATAAGGAAATCATTATTCAGGCACAGTTACTTTGATAGACTGAAAACAGTTCTAGAACAGAAGTTAATTCAAAATGAAAAGTTACTGCTATTAATAACTAGGCAACGCCAATATTAATACATCCTTTTGGAATTGTGGGCTGAACATGCAGCAACCTTGATTATTTAAACAAGAAAGCTTGAATCTTCCTGTCATGAAACATGAGTGGCTGCAGGCTTGTCGACCTCAAGAATCTATGCATGGGTCAAATAGTCAACATGGAGACTACTTCTGTGGGAACATAGTCCTAATTCATCAAATGACAGTAGAAAATTATAAAGGATTAAAAGTATTACAACTTTCAACTGAGTAAACAACCTACTTTAACAAAAGTCCCACAGCACAGGGACGTAAGGCTTGAGAAACCATTACATGCAGAGAACCCCAGTTATGTCCAAGCTGATAACACTGGTAAGCAACGATGATATTAGTAGCAAACACTGAGGCAAGAAATTAAAAGGATAAGGAAACAAGCACAGGCCATCTTCTTCTTACGAATTTCAGCAGCTGGAGTGATTTCAAAATCTTTGGTTACCAATTTAAAACAATTGCCAATAGCTGCTAATTTGATTTCTGGCATTCAAAAATCAGTGATTTTTGTAAACATGTCATCTCACCCACAGATTTTTAAGACCATGTCTAATGTTTAGGCTTGAGTCTTTAGTACACTCCCATAACCAGCCAAGCTGATAAAGAAGAAGTATAGCAACAATCTGAATTGTTACATGCCTGACACTTAAGCATCCTCAGAGAGTAAACTCTGACTTCTAAAGAAGTATAGTGCATTTAAAACAGCCAGCACAGTTACAGGTCTGAGATGTACAGGTTCCAACATTCATTTGCCCTTCTGCAAGCAGATGAAGACCCTTTTCTTCAGGCAGGCTTCTTAGTGACTGGCTGTGTGAAAGGAGTTTTTAAATGGATTGTTCTGCCTTGCTGCTTTTTAATATGCTTTTATTACTGATTTTATTTACTGTTTTTAATAAATATTTGTTTAATTCTAAATTAATATTTGTATCCTCATTTTATAAATATTGTCTTTTTCATAATGTAAGCTACCTTGGGGCTTTTTAAAGAAGAAAGTCACAGAAAAAATATTTTAAATAAACAAACAAATACATTTGTCAAAGTGAGCAGACAAGTTTGGTTGAAGAAATAAAATAAAAGGAATATTCAGTATTTTGGTGTTTTTGTTGTTTAGTCGTTAAGTCGTGTCTGACTCTTCGTGACCCCATGGACCAGAGCACGCCAGGCCCTCCTGTCTTCCATTGCCTCCTGTAATTTGGTCAAATTCGTGTTGGCAATTTCAATGACACTGTCCAACCATCTTGTCTTCTGTCATCCCTTTCTCCTCTTGCCCTCACACTTTCCTAACATCAGGGTCTTTTCCAGGGAGTCTTCTCTTCTCATGACATGGCCAAAGTATTGGAGCCTCAGCTTCAGGATCTGTCCTTTCAGTGAAGGTGTTACAACTTACAGTACTACAGTAAGCAACTGTACAGTAAGCACCAAATTTTGGTGTTAGTGACTCTTTATTCCTCTAGATGTCAGTAGAAGACATAAATTTGGGAGCAGGCGTAATCATTGTATTGCTCTGAAACAAGCTGGAAATGGGCAAGTTTCAATTTGAAAGGAGCTGTTATAGCATTGTTTTCTTATGTAGCAATTGCCATGATGTTTAAATAATGCAGTCTTACATGGTTAAAGGCAATAATAAAGGTTCTTTTAAAGTAACAAGCTTATTTGATTGCACCATTCTGGAGTATTTTTCTTAAAAATAAAGCTTGCAAGCAATTTATATGAACAGAACATAGAGATTGAAATTTTGTTGCACTAGAGTAGGCCCATAGAATCAGTGGGGATTTGGTGAGTCAACTTCCTGTCTTCCTTCTCCTCCTCTAACTGCAACTGACTATGTTGAAGTAAGTCACAGTTAGAGTAAGCCCTTTTGAATCAGTGGAATCTAGGGAGGGGTTCACTGGCCAAATCTCCAATAATTCAATAGGCCTATCCTAGTGTAACTTACTTGACTAAGCAACAGGATTTCATCCACCAATAAAGTGGCATAGCGAAACAGCAATGTATCTACCTTGCATGGTCACATAATAGCACCAATATTTCTTATTTATCTAGAACAGCACTGCATCAATAGGAAAATATGCATACAAAATTAAAATGATAGCATAGATTAAAACAGAGGATTGTCATCTCAGATAACACCATCCACAGCTATATTTTGGTGTGGACTAACTATTGCTATGGGCCACAGAACAGGCTCATTAGGGGAGCTCCAAATCATACCAAAAAAACATGCAGCCCTACCACTATGGATTGAGACAGCTCTTAAAAAGATTGGGATGGATCTCTCTAATCAGAATGCATTTGGACACTGTAAACCAAACAGCACCAAAAGCAATCCAAATAGCAAGCTATTATGCCCTAAATCAGGGGTCTCCAAACGTTTCAGTATGAGGACCACATCATATATTTTACACATTTCAAAGGCTGAAGGAGGAAAGGGGGACCCAAGTGATCCCCCACCCCCACTGACTTTGCAAAGACAGAGGGTGGGGGGTTGCTTGGGTCTCACTTCCCTCCTCTTCCTATGCCCAGGCCAGATAAAAAGGCAAATGTGCCCCACAGACTGTAGTTTGGAGACCCCTGCCCTAAATTCTCATTTCCTTCCTTTACTACAGGGTTTGGGGACCTCTGACATACCAGATACTGTTTAACTATACAACCCCTGATCATTGGCCATGCCGGTTAGGGATGATAGGAGTTGGAGTCTGACAATAACTGGACAGATTATTATCTGACAGATCCCTACTCTTGCTCTAGTATAAACAAAAAGAGTAAGAAACTAAGTATTTGTCTCATGTAGAGATTTTTCTTAGTAGTGTTCAATTTGGAAACCATTTTGGACTGCTACCTTTAAGTAGAAGAAAGATACATTCCACATATCTAAACAGAAAATGTGTCAATTTTTTTTTAAAAAAAGCACACTTGTTTAAGTACTTTTAACATGAATGCTGTACCATCTTAAAAATAACATTTTTCTTGTTTTCTTTTATACCCTGAATGTCATCTTGCAATGAAGCCAAATACAGAGAAAATAATACCTTAATAAATTCAATGTAATCATCGTAAGTGCCCTTTGGTGGAGCATAGTAGTTGCCACTAGGAGAAAAGAGATGCCGGGGATTTTCAATTACTTCTGGGTTGTAAAAATCAGCAAGCATAGTCAGAAGCAGGCGTCTGTCCCAATCATCTGTTACTCTTCCTCCATAGTTGCATTCACCCGTAAGGTAAGTTATTGCTTCAAATGGGACATGCTCATATTCATTTATAAACAGCTGAAATTGAAAAGAACCAGAACATTGTAAAGACTCCAAACTATGCTATGTTTTGCTCTTTCTGTAGAAGACACGCCAAGTTGATTCTTTGTGTATGAATGTAAACAAAAAAGGACTTACTTCTAATTATTTACTAGTTCCACTTCACACTTTATAGTTTTCCCTTCCAGAGATAAAACATCTGTACATTTCATCAAGCTTATGTATAAATTATGCGAACTACAATGAGTTCAGAAGTTCAGATCCAGATGTAATCATGTTTACAGTAGACACCATGATGAATGGCACCAATGTACACTTGATTTTTATTTATTTATTTATTTATTGCTATTTTGCTATTGGGGTTTTTTTACCAGTCTGCTCTAAGTGGTTTAGGTTTCTGGCTGTGGAACTAGAGGTTGGGAGTTAAATTTCCCACTGTGCCTCCTTGATAGGGGCTGGACTCCATAGGGTTCCCTCCATCTTTGCAGTTTTAAGATGACGATGATTAAATACGATTAGGCTGGTATCTAAACCTATGAACAGGGCTTGCCAGAGAAAGAGGGAGAGAACTGGGTTGGTTCCATTGTCTGTCATTAGAAAATGACAAAATGGGGTTACAACATTTGTAAGGTAAAGGTAAAGGTTCCCCTTGACAATTTTTGTCCAGTCATGTTTGACTCTAGGGGGCGGTGCTCATCCCCGTTTCCAAGCCATAGAGCCAGCATTCCGAAGACAATCTTCCGTGGTCACATGGCCAATGCGACTTAGACATGAAACGCTGTTACCTTCCCACCGAGGTGGTCCCTATTGATCTACTTGCATTTGCATGCTTTCGAACTGCTAGGTTGGCGGGAGCTGGGACAAGCGACGGGAGCTCACTCCGCCACATGGATTCGATCTTATGATAGCTGGTCTTCTGACCCTGCAGCACAGGCTTCTGCGGTTTAGCCCACAACGCCACCACGTCCCACAGCGCCACCATGTCCCACAGCGCCACCACGTCCCAACATTTGTGGTATACATTAAATTTGAAAACCCTTGCACATGCAACACCAATGGCTCTCTTGGGTCTCTCAAATGCTGGTGAAACTAATGCTAAAGTGCAGCTTCATGAGATTCAAAACTATAGTCTCCAGTTACTACTGAAACAAAATCTGTTATCTGGCAAATGTAGTCACAGACCAATAAAAGTCCTCTACGAAACAACAATGTAAAACTTTAACTTAGCGCTCCTCTGGTGTCCCCAGGATTCCTAAGAAGAAACGATGGCTTTCCTCAGTCCTTTGCAGGGCACCATCAAATAGTGGCTTCTTCACCAATGTGAAGTCTGTGATCAACCTTGTGCAATCATTCTGCAGTATAGTTGTTGTGGGTTTTTTCGGCTCTTTGGCCGTGTTCTGAAGGTTGTTCTTCCTAACGTTTCGCCAGTCTCTGTGGCTGGCATCTTCAGAGGACAGGAGTCAGAACTGCAGAATTCTGCAGTAGTCGACTAAATTGGATTATTAGTATCCACAGAAATATGACAGGAAAATCAGTTCATGGGTTTTTGTTATAACTTTAGATATTTGTTCTGAAGGAATAATAGATGTATTTACCTGCAACTGTCTCACACTGATACGCAGGTCTGATTCATTGAATCCATATGGAATATTCCATCCAAGAGGCCCAAACTTCTTCCTTTCTTGAACAAGAGCATGAAAAAAACAAACTCCAAAGAGCAATTTCTCCCATCTCTTCAGGGGAAAAAGCAAAATATGTAGTTGAACAAAGAGAAGATGTAAAAAGAGCAGAGGAAAAAATAACATACAGATATATTAGGATTCAAGATATTTTAACCTATACAATGATATTCCTCATTGTTTGTCATCTTTACACCATTCCATAGAGCAATTATAGGAAACTAGGTGAATATATGAAAACTGAATTGAGTTAGGGGATTTTCACATTTATTTGCCATTTCTACTCTATAGTTCAACACAGAAGGTCCTCTGGACTCTTCATACCTTCAGTGCTTTTACGTTTTATGAGACTTGCTATGGTTTGTAAACACTCCATGCTTTATTTATTAAATTTTGAAGTCCAAGGCCAAAGGAATCTGCACCTCCTTCAACTGGATACATGCAGCTAGTAGGGTGGCTGGTGCTCAGTACATGGCAAGGTGAACGGATTCTGTCAGCAGAACTAAGAGAGAACAATTCCCTCCTGTGCCTGGAATACCTGCTCCAAAGGGGAAAACTCTTTAGAACTGAGCTTGGGGCAGCAGAGAGGACTGGATAGAAGACAGAATGAAAAGAAAGCCCTGTTATCTTGAAGTATGTCTGCTCACATGACTTTGGTTTCAGGCTGTAGTGCCACTATATGACAAAGATTAATTAATTAATTAATTGGTTGTAGTTGATATTTAGCATCATATTCTGATATTTAAGGGGAGGAGAATGGAATAGCACCATCATTGCCTTGACCCGTTTAGAAGAATGGTGGGATGCTAGTTAAACAATAATATTGATGGGTAGACAGTTGCTGCTTTAGGCTATCTGATATGGTACGGCACATGTGAAAATGTTGTGAACTGTCTGCTGAAAACTGCTAAAGAATACAGATCCTCTACACATTGCATAATATAATTTAATACCAGACTAAATGACTATGCTAATAAATCATCACAAAGAACAATCTTTACAAATTGTTACCAGTTCCTTTCCAGGGCACCCAGCAAAGAAAGCAGGATCGGAAAGAGGATCAGAGAGGTAGGACTGAAGCATATTTAACCGAAGACCTGTCGGAGGCTCATTTGTCATCTTTACACCATTCTGTAGAATGGTTACTGGAAACTAGAAAAGAAAAAGAAAAAAGAATACAAAAACAGAACTGTATTAGGAGATTTTTAATTCTTATTTACAATTTCTGCTCCATAGCTCAAGACAGAATATTCTTTCGATTTGCTACATCTTCAAAACACAATGCATATTATCACAATGCACATAAAAGTTAGTATCTTTTTGTCTCCTAATTTTGATTTTAAAAATTAGATTCTATATTCTCTTCCAATAAAAACATTGCCATGTTAATGTTCAACATTCAATGGCTGTTCATGTGTGCATATTAATCTTGTAAATTCTGTAAAAATTATGCATATATCACCATGTAATAACATCTGTGTCTCTCTTGCTACTTATTTCTAAAATGTAGTGCACTATACATTTATCCAATGGGTTATTGTTGCAACATGTTGAAAACAACAAAATATAATAAATGAATCAGTGGTGCCCCGCTTGATGACGATAATCCATTCCAGGAAAATCGCTGTTAAGCAAAATTGTCGTCAAGCAAAGAAAAAAGAAAAAAGGAATGCATTAATAACTGGTTAATGCGTTCCAATTGGGGAAATACCTCATCGTCCAGTGAAGATCCTCCATAGGGGAAGCCATTTTTGATCACTGTCTTGTGAAAATAGATCCGGAAAACAGCAGGGAGCCATTTTGCGAACCGCCGATTGGCTGTTTTTAATCGTCATATTGCGAACAATTGGTTCACTAAACAGGGACCTAATCATTGTAAAGTTAAAAAAACCCATAGGAATCATTGTTTAGCAATCACTATAGCGATCGCAAAAAACTCATTGTCAAGTGATTTCATCATCAAGCGGGGCACCACTGTAATTTAAATTTCTCTCACATACATGTAACTACTAAAAATTATGTCCCATTGAGTCTATTCCAATTTATGGCAACCCCTGCTAGGTTTACTAGGTAAAGTGTGCTGCTTTACCTAGGAAGCCTAGTATAAAGCAGGCAAGGGATTTTTTGCTTTCTTGGAGTACAAATCCCATCATTCTCCATTTTGGGAGTTCCACCTCACATACTCATACAGTGGTGCCTTGCATAACGAGCGCACCGTTTAACGGCGAATCCGCATAGCAATGCGTTTTTTGCGATCGCTAATACGATCGCATTGCGATGTTTAGATAGGCTAAACATCGCATTGCGATGATCGGTAAGTGTTTCGCTTACCAATCTTCGCATTGCGATGTTTAGAAAACAGCTTATCGGCGGTTCCAAAATGGCCGCTGGATCAGCAAAATGGCCACCCGCAGCGTTTTCGCGCCCTGCCCTCGCTTACCGGGCAGCAAAAATGGTGGCCGGATGGGCGAATCTTCGCTTACCGATGAGTTTTCCCCCCATAGGAACGCATTAAACGGAGTTTAATGCGTTCCTATGGGGTTCCCCCCCGCATAACGGCGAATCCGGATAGCAACGTTAATCCTGGAAAGGATTAACATCGCTATGCGGGGCACCACTGTACATCCATACCTACAGACACCTAAATGTGTCTTACCAAGAGAAAAGGCCTTGCTGGGAAGGTTTGATTGGCTTAGCTCCTCCCCACTGCTATCCGGGAGCTTCCTTTTTGCAGAGGAAGCTATGGCAGAGCTAGGCCAATGCTAGGCCTTTGAAGCCTTCCCAGCTAGGCCTTTTCTCCATAAAAGACATATTTATGTGTCTATAGACATGGGTACATTAGGTAGAACTCCAAGAATGACCCAGAAGTGGTTTTCCAGTCACTTCTTTTGGCAGCACTGTAGAACTGTGCAGCTAGCTCAAGGGTCTTCTCCCAGGAGGTACAGTGGGGAATTGAACGTCCATCCTCTGGACCCACAGCTAAGTATTTTCTGCCATATAGCCAACTGCATAGAGGTCCATATACAAATCCATCCAATAAATCCCTAAGGAAAAAACCAAAACAGACTTAACAGCTCTGAGTACATTAAAAACCTAATAAACTTCCTGTGGGAGAGATGTGATTTGCCCAGAAGACCTTTAGTAGTAGAAAGTTCCCAACAAAAGTACCACCAAGAGGGACCTAGTCCAGATAGTTTCTTACTACACATCACAGAGTAAGGAAAATCCTAAGCAAAGATTTGTTAGTTAAACATCAAGCTGCAGAAAGAATACTCCTTCAAATTTCCTGCACTTTGTTTGAGGCAATAAAAATTAGCAGTATTCTGAATTGAACTGATAGTTTAGTGTTTTAAAGGATTGGTATTGTATGGTTCCCTTAATAGATGCTGCTGAAGGTATTAATTATTGCATTCAAAATCACCTGCAATTTTGAAACAGCCCTCAAAGGAGTACACATGGTCAACAACTGCAAAGGCCTGGGTTTTTCTTCCATACTTCCATAACATAACAATACCTTAGGTGATGGATAACTTGTCAGCCAGAGTCTGAAGCCTGGATGGCAAGTTTCACCATTAAACTCTTCACAGATTTTCTCTAGCATCGGCATCCAGGAAACAGCAAGGTGGCAGTTTTGTAGACAAACCCAGGTTCCCTCCTCCATTCCTTCTCTTATCATTTTTGCAGCTATTGGTCCTTGCCCTTGGCCCAGAGAGATGGACTGAAATTTGTTTCCAGTCATATTTTTATCAGTGGCAAATTTCAGAAGACCTGGCATGAAAGGTATAGCATGAGTTAGCTTAAAAATGCTAATTACAGAATATAAAATGAAAATCTTTAAAAAACAAAAAAGCATGACTCTTGTGGAAACATTTACTATAAGTTTTCTTTGGCATAATCTTATGTGCATTCCTGCTCACTGCTTCAAATGTGTGGAGTGTAGCCTAAGCAGATAGACAATGAGGAATATGGTAAAAGATGGAATGTAATGAAATCCAATTTACTTGACTTTTTTTGACAGCTGTCAAACCTACAGTTCAATGCATTCCAATGGGGGGGGGGAAATTCACCAAAAATTAACGAAGACTCAGAACAAAGCCAAATTAAGTTTGCAAAGGTTTTACAGGGTGCACTAACCATTCCAAGCATTTTAAACAGTTTTTGAACATTTTAAGACACTTTCAAAATAGCGAAAACGGACCTGTCAAAACCATTGAAATGCACTGAAACCTATTCAATGCATTCCAATAGGGGAACCGCATTTCGCTTAGCGATGTTTCCTATGGCAATTTTCGCTTAAGGACGGTAATCCGTTCCCATTGGAACGGCTTATCCGGTTTTCAATGCATTCCTATGGGAAATGGTGTTTCGCTTAGCAATGTTTTCCCATAGTGATGTTTTTTTGGAACCAATTAACATCGCTAAGTGAGGCACCACTGTATTTTGCATTAGCCATACGTAGACCAAGGAAACTCACGGCTACAAACATCAGATGTAGTAAATATTGATTTTGGATTTATACAAGTAGCAACAGTAAACACATTCTTTGTCAGTGTATTTCTTCTGTTTCTATGAACCTTAACAGAAAATCTTTAGGACAAACTGAAATCTACAAATAGGAGATTTTGCTTGGCCTGACAAAAAGTATCATCTTCCAAACACTACGATAACAAAATTCTTAAGGAGAAAACTGATACATTCAGTATTTTGCAGCATTATGCTGTTGTTTCCAAAGAAAGAAAAACAAATACCCACTGCAACATATGAACTTACTGGCCATTGGATCTGCCCCAGGAGACAGCACAAAGATCAGAGGGATAGTAGCATTAGAATCCAAGTAACTTTTTGTCAGATCAAATGGGGGTGGCTCAACAAATTTCTTTCCAAGTTTGTCAGTCACAAATGTAGTTATAGCTGGTGCAATCTGTTGAAAAAATGTTTAGCATTAAATAATTTGTAAATACATAATTTACAGCATAAGTGTACATACAGTATTTCTTTGGGACCAATCATCTAGGATTTTATTTAGGTAGCTGTGATTCCCCACTATGCCTCCCATGAAAAGAGCCAGCCTGTCTGGCCTTGGATATGCTGCATAGTCGCAGGGTGCCCCCAAACGAGAGGAATGGTAAACCACTCCTGAGTACTCTACAATTAGAAAACCCTGGAAGGGGTTGACATAAGTTGGAATCAACTTGGTGGCATGTAATTACTATTATGAAGAAATCTAAGTTTTCTATCAAAGGTTGCAATCCACAAAGACTTACGCTACTAACTTCAGTAGTTTTCAAAGTTAGATGTTTTTGTTTCAGCATGTGTAACAAAAATAAAAATAAAAGAGTTAGGACACTTTGAAGACTACTTCAAAATGACCTTTCAAAAATTACAATCCATATCATTGTGTTGTAGCACAAACATTTATTTTAGAATAATCCATAGCTTCTTATGATACGCAGAGTTAAAAATTCTGCTGTAAACTATAAAGCATACAGTAGGTTGATTTTCTCTGAAATTCTTCAGCACAGTCCAGTAGCCAATGCATATTTGCAACATTATCTCTAGTGTCTCTCATTTTTCAGAATCCAACTTGGACACCAGTGTTTCTTGTTCTGTATATGGTAAAACAAGCTACCATGCCTGGTTCCATACAGACCTAACCATAAGTCACTTTTAAAGCTGTGGTTTCCTTTAGAATAAATAACAAGGCTAGAGATAAGCAGCTTTCAGTGCCCATTATGTACACAATGCTAAATCATTTGTACAGTATCTGGGTTCCAGTACTGAACAGAAACCTGCAGCCTATTTGGGTTTCACAGTGCAGTATCTATTGATTGGTGTTAAGCTTATATTAAATTAAACTACAAGGCCAGGATAGACTGTGAATAGGCCACAAGATTCAGAAGAATGCAAGGGAAATTGTTACTTGTTACTGGCTTGATAACTTGATCTCAACATAGTCTTCTTTTCTGTAGTTGTTATCAGGATCTTCGCATGGAACTTTTATCACCTATTATCTGTAAATCTCCTGGGAGATCAGAGGAGGATTATGTGCAGTGGCTACTCTCTGACAATACTCCTTATATTACAAGACAAGTCGCCAAATTCTGTGCAGCAGCAATGGTTATTTGTAAACAGATGTTTGGGTAGGTGATTTTAGATGGACAATATGTTTTTAACATAACCTGAGGTTTTACCTATATTAAGGATATATTGTGTTATTAATTGGAAAGAAGGGGTTGTTTTATCATGTTTTAATGGAATTTTATTACCCTGCCTGACTTTACTAAACAATAATTATATGTATCTCTTTTATATTGATTTGTTTTTACTGGTCTTTGACCGTAATAAAGTACAGTGGTGCCCCGCATAGCAACAATAATCCATTCCAAAAAAAATTGTTGCTATCCGGATTTGTCGCTATGCGGGGCAAAAAACTTCATAGGAATGCATTAAAACACGTTTAATGCGTTCCTATGGGCTGTAAACTCACTGCTATGCGGAAATCCTCCATGCGGCCGCCATTTTCGCTGCCTGGTAAGCGAGTAAAGGGTGTGAAACCACTGCAAGTGGCCATCTTGGAACCGCCGATCAGCTTACTGATCATCGCAAAGCGATTTTTAGCCATTGAGAACATCACGATTTTTAGCATTGCAATGCGATCGCAAAAAATGCATCGCTATGCGAATTCATCGTTAACCAAGGCACTCGCTATTCGGGGCACCACTGTACACTACTATATGGTAAAACCCCTTCTTGCAAATCTTTAGCACTACTTTGCTTGAGTGCACAATTAGTGCAATGGTCCTATCATTATTACTTTCCTCTCTCGTTGTTTTCTTCTATTTCTTTGCAGTAATTGTTGTAATAGTTCTCTTTGTCTCCATGTGACTGCTGCCAAACAGTTGCATTTAGGATTCTGACCTAATTTCTGACACTTTTTACTGTTGATTGTTTTCTATTAGCAATTTCAAGAGTTTTGTTTGTCATTCATCGTGGCTTTCAAATCCCCTGTTGAATGCATACATTAATGTGGTGAGGTGGCTGTGTATGTCAAGGAAGCTGACAGCAATGCTATCAAGATGTCAGACTCTGTTGAAGTCTGGACTCCTAGTTTGGTCATTTTAGGCAGAATGATCAAAGCTGAAACAAAGTTGAGTATGATGCATCTCTTGATCATTCCAATAGAGATGTGGGTGAAGAAGTTCCTGAAAGATAGCCACTGGGCAGCAGCAATAGTGGGAGGTGATACTGGCAGAAGATCTCTCACATGAAACAGCAGTGAGCCTCAAGCTAACAAAAGAAGACAACGATAAAAAAACTTCTGAATATTTTATATTTTGAAATCCCCTTGATGGGACAATCCAAAAAGAAGCAAGCAAACAATATCAGCTTATAGAAATTTTGTGTTAATATATTTCACCTTATCAGGTCTCAGGCATCTGAGAATAATCATCTTTTTGATCTCATTCAAATTTGTATCCCATGGTCTTGGTAAGGGGACATTCTGTGGTTCTTTACTGTCATAGATTTTACGCCAGTCATTGAGTTGTGCAGCTACATGATTCCTATATTAAAACATAAAATACAAACATTCAGATGTCAACTTTGAATATGAATTAGAAATAAGAGCTTCTCTAAATGTCTACTTTCTCTGAGTTTCATGGTATTGGTGACTAGCATGTTGGCTCACCTGCAAATCAAATGTCAACTTCTCTAACCCCTGTACTGCAGGTGTAGAGTACATCTGGACATAGTATCTGTGAAGATTCTCAGTCATCCAGGTGAGGTTATCTGGAAGTTGAGTCATGACAACTGAACTTCTTTCTTATTAAGTTGAAACATTTCATTACTCATTCAAGTAGCTTCTTCAGTCTGAGGAGAGTCAGTAGGAGACCCTGATATATCCTTCACATTGGTTTCACTTTTCCCTGGTCTTACCATTATTAGTCATTCACAATGGTCTTTCTGGTGTGTGGTCCTGATGATCAAGATGTACTCATTTTGGACAAAGAAGATAGGTGGTTTGAGAGAGGGGTCAGGAAGGCCATACATGTGCATATGGAATGGAGCACTTAGATACAATCTTTCTCATATTGCTGTTTCATCCATCCCCAGAAAGATCAGGATCACACACCAGAAATACCACTGTTAACGACTTTTAATGACCCATGACAATGGGTGGAGAAGGACTGCAGAGGTGAGATTTTCACTCACCCGCCCCCCCGTCCTTTGTCCATCTAACGAACCTATTCAGACCAGGGGAAAGTGAAACCAATGTGGAGGATATCAGGGTCTCCTACCAACTCTCCTCAGATGGAAGAAATTACTTGGATGAGTAGCAAAACATTTCAACCTAATAAGAAAGAAGCCCAGTTGCTACGACTCAACTTCCAGATATCTGGACATAGTATTTTTAGAAGTAAACAGAAGACCAGTTCCATGTAATCCTGAGTGCAAGCCAATGCTTACTACTCAAGAGGAACCAACAGAAACAGCAGAGAGTAATACCTACCCTTGTTTGAAAATAGCAATGGCAGATCTAAATGCACACAAAAGGAAGGACCTATTTTCCCAAGCACTTTCCCCCATGTTTACTTGACCTGCAGAACAATTCCCATCTCAGGACATTACAGATGGAGTGGGACATAAAATAGCAAGGGAGTGGAACAGTGGGTTTCATGGACTTGTTCTTCCTCCAACATGCGCAATTAATTCCAGCTCAGAACCATGTGTCACCAGACCAATCTTAAACAGATCTGTTTCAGCCGCACTCCATTAGAGCTCTAACTGCCAAGCTTTCCCTTTTTGCAGTTGCCTTTTTTTGCAGCAGCCACTTTGCTGACTGGGGCTGGTTACAGGGATGACATAACACCCCATTATAGAAGCTCCACTGGTTGCCAATATATTTCTGGGCACAATTCAAAATGTTGGTTTTAACCAATAAAGCCCTAAATGGCCTGGGTCCAAGGTATCTCAAAGGCTGTGTCTCCCATTTTGAACTGACTTCGGTATTAAAATCATCAGGTGAGGCCTTTCTCTTCGTCCCACCACCTTCACATCTGTTGCTGCTCCCAGACTTTGAAACTCTCTCCCACTGGAGACCAGTGTGGCCTCTTTGCCATCCTTCCACAAGGAGGCCAAGACCTTTATTTTCAGGCAAGCTTTCCCTCAGTGACTGGCTACATTCATGTAACTTTTAGATGGATTGTTATTCATTAATGCTCTGACTGGATCTTTAGTGCTACTTGTGTTTACCATCTTTCAGAGTGGTATTTGTTCCACTTTAATATTTATGTACTTACTGTTGTAGCTTTAATATTGTTTTTAATCATATCAGCTACTTCTCATTGTTCTTAGCTTTAAATATTGTCTTTTAATTATGTAAGCTGCCTGGGGTCCTTTTTAAGAAGGCAAGGCAACAAACAAACAAACAAACAAACAAACAAACAAACAAACAAACAAACATTCTTAGCAAATGGAAGTGGCTGGGGTCCCAGGATATAATCCTGTCATAGTAATAAGGTCTCGGTATATAAATTTCTGATGCTACCAGAGAAGCAATGGAAAATGTAGTTCCTTCAGTTCTTGGATGGTGGATTATGACTGTAAAGCAGTTTACAATGGGAATTATAGGGATCTATATATTTAAGCTTTTCACGATCTCTGCCAGGTGCCTTACATGTTCATTGCTAATTGAGAGCCAATGCCCTTCTCACTGTAGTGCCGTAATAAAGAATGGAGAAGTGATAGCACAGAAGATTTATTTGAGTGCATCAAAGTAGGTAGTGGAATTCAGTGGATCTAATTTGGGTCTATATTTATGTCGCCAGACATTTAGATAATATCTTGCAAAATAAACAGGGATCCCCAATTCTGGGTGTGATTTCATCCATCACTTTAGACAAGGCCAGAGGATGTACCTAGTGTTCTGGAGAGGTACGCTAGTCCTTGAACTGGGCTTCTCCATGCATTTATGTTCCCCAGCTTAGGTCTACCAAAAATGGTGGTGGGTGGCAGCACACCATTTTGACATCTGCCCAGTGCCCTGGCACGTCAGGCATACTGGGAGCTCCAAAACTGTAGCAGTCTCTCAGGCATCCACAGCAGCTGCTACCTCCTGAAATGCAAACAGCCTTGGGTCCTGAGGAAAACAGTATCTTAGTATTTCTTTTCCTTCTACCTATATCACTAACAGCTTGTAATCTAAGAAAACAAATTAAAGGTTTCATATCAGATTTTACTTTACCGCAGTCCTTTGAAAGCAGACATATCACTTGCACGAGATATTTCATCCCAGCTTTTATCTTGTAGCCAAGATGGATCGGGATTCTTGTACTTGCTCTTGAGGCCGACTCCTCCAGTTAATAAAAACATAAATTCTTGATGCTCCATTTCTTTCCTAGCCCTGTTTCAAAAAGTAAGGTCCAAGCATATTTTCTATCATACTTCAGTATTTTAATTTGAAATGCAAGTATAAGACAAAAAAACTTTAAAATCTTATTATAGTTGTGTAGTACAGCTCAATTTATTTACTAAATATTACTAAATATATATTATTACTAAATATATATTTTGTCTTTCTCCCACAAATCCCTAAAATATTAGTTTCTCCCACAAATCCCTAACATATTCTTTTACTGCTCCAGAAAAAGAAACATTTTATTGAGGGCTAGTGAGTCAGAGTTCAGGATCTGCCTTTATCATTAAGTTATGCTACAGTCACTTTAACTACTAGGTGATTGGTCAAGGGTTTACTGAAACCATACACCCACCTGCCAATACATTTTTGTTCTGTCCTTACTAAACTCCACTGGGTGGAATAGTTGCGGTCATGAACACATGGAAGGTATCGCAGGTTGATACAAACGTCTCCATTCCACAGCCACATTTCTGTCATTGTTCATACAGAAATGTTTAATTAACCTGGGAAGGTATGTTTTAAATGTTCACAGACCACACAGCCCCTCTTTCTTTTTCACCTTTCTTTACTATTATTACTGTCCTCTTACCCATTCCTTTTCCCACTCATTCACCCACTAGCAGCCATCAGGGCAGAACACAGGCATCCCAATGTTCATAACCATAAAAACCAAAAACACAAGCCGTGCATGCCGAATGAAATATACCTCATACTCACTCCAAAATATCAGATGTAGTTGCGAATAGCACTAATAATGTGCAGTCAATGGAATAAATACTGAAAGAAAAATGGCACTAACAGCAGGGCAAAACACCCCATCTAGTTGTCCTCTGTACAGGGACATGGAGGAAGGTAAAAGGGCAAAAAATAGACAGGAAATTCTAAAAGAATGAGGTATCTGACAAAATAACTAGAAAGACTAATTACTAACCTTCAGCCCAATTCTACTCTGAGTTTAATTTCCATAATTTGCATAAACAATGGTCTTAGGCTTTGTTGCTACACCAGTTTGGCTCTGTAAACTTGTGAGGGCTTGAAAGATACCGTTGCTTTCCTAGTTTTTAAGGTAGCCAAAATAAATCAATAAATTATCTCTGTTTATTATAAGATTCTAGAAAATACGAGCTCTTACATTAGAAGATTACAGCAAAGTAAAAATGAAAATAGCAGCTTATCCTTCTCAAACAGGGAACGACAAACATTGCAATACAAGTTGTATGTAAAATGGTCATTCAGATATCGAAGCCTTTTTTCCAAGATTTTGGACTTGTTACTGTAAAAAAATAAATATATATACATTAAAAAAGTATATATAGAACACAGAAAATATTGATCTATATTTTCATATATAATTAGGCAAAAACATTGCTGAGGTAGTCACACAAAGCAATTATAAAAAAGTTAAAGAAAAAAAGTGGTTCTCATAGTTTAATAATGTCTAGTTATCTTAAGTCGTTACATTTGCAACTGCAAATACTTTCAAGCTCAAAAACAGACAAACTTAAAAAAAATTAAATATATTTAGAAAGTCACATCTAAAGATTGGCTGCAACTTGAAGCCAGCAGAAACTAAGCAAATGAAGTAAGTATTTACCTGTCATGAATAGAGTTGATGTAAAGGTTTACAAACCATGTGAGAGAATATTGGTACATAGGGTCAATATTAGCTAGATCAGCAATACTGAAGAACAGCACAGAGGAATGCTTCGCAATAGGTCTATAGCCTTCTCGAGACTGTGCTATTTTAATTTCTGTTTTTTCTGCAATCTAAAGAAAATGTCTCCCTTAGCAAATTATTCAAAATATATCCAAATAAACACACACGTTACCTCCCCTAGTTTCAAAAAAACAATACAATAGTATGCTAACCCATTTTTTCATTGTATTTTCTTACAAAACTGGGATCTGCAAAGTTTGGTATGATGCCATGGCATGTGCCATCATCTCAGGATATTGAATTGGCAGGTTTGTGTATCTGTGCAATAAACATTACTCTGAATGAATAAGGACATGGAACCATGGAAACATTACTCTGAATGAATAAGGACATGGAATCAAGCATTTACTTGAATTGTGAATCAAGCACTTTATAAGAGTCCAGGAACATTGAATTACACCATTCTTGTTAGGCAGATAAGAAGGCAGTCATTGGGCTTGCTTTTAATGTGTGTATGCATACTATGCATGTAAGTAATATATACCAATATACAAATAGCTGGAGAAAAATGTTAGAATAAATTAGAACTTTAAATAACATGTCAACAGAAATGGAGTGTGAGCTCTAAATGTAGAAGGAGTCAAGTTGTCAGGTTTCATGAGCCAGACACACAGAGACACTCATAGTTTCTTTTGGTGTTTACTACTCCTGTACCACCAGTGCTGCCTATAGAAGGTGAAGGGGGAGAGTGCAAAGACTGGTTCAAAGGGAAGCTGGAAATTCTTTGAATATTTTGATTCTGGTTGGAGATGTCTGGGATTTTTAAAGTGTGCTTCTCCTTCTCTGGTGGGATTTGGTAGGCCATATATTCAAATTTCAAGTCTAGCATACATAATTTAAAAAAAGATCCACACTGTAATCCTAATTACCTCAAATGAGGTGCTGCGGAACCAATATTTCTGTACTTATAGTAGCTATATATATCTTTAGGATATATATATATAACAGTTTATACAATCTCCCCAGTATATATCTTTAGGATATATATATAACAGTTTATACAATCTCCATCTATAAAATCAAAATTGCTTACCTGCTGTTTCTTTGTAATTTCATTAGACATTATTTTGGCTGAGTCTAAGATCATAATTGCACTTTCATCTTCTAAAATATTTACTTCAGAAGACTGTAACGTTTCTAAAATTTTATTTTCTATATCTTTCAGTTGTTTCTTATTGGCAGCTGACTGGAGGATAAGAGCATTCCGTTCCTCCTCTAATTCTGGTCTGAAAAGACAATTACTCATTAATACTTAATATAATGCAGCTGCTGTGACAATTTTGTCATGGTCCAATAACATCCAAATATTTTGTAAACAACAGAAATGCTGGGAAAATTTATGTTGATGTATACAGTAGGATTAAAAATTTCTCAGAAAACCACTGAAACAGTCTGTGTTCTTTCTGCACTTATTTATTTATTTACTTATCCATCCATCCATCCATCCAATACTTAATATAATGCAGCTGCTGTGACAATTTTGTCATGGTCCAATAACATCCAAATATTTTGTAAACAACAGAAATGCTGGGAAAATTTATGTTGATGTATACAGTAGGATTAAAAATTTCTCAGAAAACCACTGAAACAGTCTGTGTTCTTTCTGCACTTATTTATTTATTTACTTATCCATCCATCCATCCATCCAATCCACACTGGCCTTGCGACCACTCCAGGCAGCTATTACTTAGCCTGCAGAACCTAGAGAACACCAGGGTGCAGGCAAATACAGTGGTGCCACACTTAACGGGTGCCCCGTTTAACGACGAAACTTAGCCTGCAGAACCCAGAGAACACCAGGGTGCAGGCAAACACAGTGGTGCCTCGCTTAACGGGCGGCCCATTTAACGGCGAATCCGCATAGTGACGAATTTTTTGTGATCGCTTTTGCGATCGCATTGCGATGGTTTAGATAGGAAAAAAATTGCTTTGCGATGATTGGTACCCTGTTTCGCATACCGATCATCACATAGCGATGATTTTCCAACAGCTGATTGGCAGTTCCAAAATGGCCAGCGGGTAAAAAAATGGTCGCCGGCTGTGTTTTCGCCCAGATTCCTCACTTACCGGGCAGCGAAAATGGCTGCCGTATGGAGGATTTTTGCTTAAAGGTGAGTTTTAAGCCCATAGGAACACATTGAATGGGTTTCAATGCATTCCTATGGGCTTTTTAAAACCGCATAGTGACGAAGTCGCTTTACAGCGATTTTTTCTGCACGGTTTATCGTCACTATGTGGGGCACCACTGTATTGTTGCTATGCAGGGGCACCACTGTATACTCTGAATTGGCCATCCTGCATATCACAGCACTCTTGTCCGCTTCCCTTGTCATTTAGTCAGAATTCCAAAACATTCTTTCTTATTTACTTCTTTTCTTACTATCTGCTACTGAATGTTGCACAAAAAATAACTGTAGTCCACTCTGTAGCCCATTATCTACCATCATTATTTACTAATTTGTCTTCAGAAATAAAAACACAACGAACAAACATGCACAATATTTAATAGATTGTAAAAGGCTAAAATTCCACAGTGAAATGTTTTGACCTATTAGGTCACTGAAGAACTCACTAAATACGCTCTCACAGCAGTAATTACCCATTGCATTTTTATTTACTTCTAAATCTTCCTGCACACAACACGCAAACATACCTCTCTTTTGCAACAACAATACCTAGAAGCTGATCTTCAAGTCCTTCAGGAGTAATCATGAAGTTGAGTAAAGAAACCTTTGTAGCCAGTTCAGGCAAATAATGTGGATTCCTTAATTTGGTAGTAATATAAAATTTGAAATCAAAGGAGTATTCGATAATTGTCTCTCCAAGCCGAATGCAATCCATGCCCCCTGGTATTGAAAACAGAAATATATATATATATTCTGTGTACAAAAAAAATACTAATTCTGCAATCAAAAGACAGTAAGTTTCAAGCTAAAGCAAATTTAGCAGTCTGACAATACAAAATAATAACTGTTCAAATTGGCATAGCATGACAAGCTGTAGCTACTCAAAAGCAGAAGCTTCTACAGTATATTACTCCTTGCAGCCATGTTGGAGAAAAAGGGATGGCAAAGCATGAGAGCACAGGAGGAAGCTCAAAACATTGGTGTAGCATAGTGGGGCCCAGGTGTGCTTGGACTGCAACATCCAGCAACCCTGTCCAGCACAGTTGGCGGTGAAGGATTCTTGGAGCTGCAGTCCCAGAACACCTTGGAGCACAGTACGTATTGAATATTTATTTATTGAAATATTTCTTCAAAACTGTTTTGCTCAGACTTGTGCAAATGAAGGGAAAAGTGTATATGATAATATATATCTGTTATTCCTGTAAGGGTTACCATACCCTTACTAAAATAATACCGTGTGCAACATCAAAATCAATTACAGTAGAAGATGTCTCATGCAAATAATGTCACAACCCCCCACTCAAAACGATAAAAAAAAATCCTTCCATGTTTTACCTTCAACTGTCCCTAGGCAGCAGTATTTAAGAGACAAAAGAAAAGAATTTATTGATGCAACAGACCAATATCCAAGTGTATAGTTTGGAAGTTGTAACTGTTCTTATACCTTGTTTAAAAGTCTGTCTCAACAGCAGTGGTTCTAGGGAAGGATCTATTTCTTCCCCAACATTTTCAAGCAGAAGTGGAGTCCCAAACTGAATGCAGTTTTCTAGAGTTCTCATGTAGTCTGTGTCTGTGAACTTTATGACACTCAGCCTGTTCTCTCTTTCAGAGTTTTTAATCCATTTATTTGCTTGACCTTGGGGATCAATCATTAATGGCCTAGAACACATCAGATTTTTTAATAGAAGAAATAAAGCTTAACAATAAATTACTATCTACTATATAACAGCCTAGTTTTAAAAATCTGTAACTATGATTGCAGTGGCAAGCAAAGAGAATATTATAATGAAATCCACATGATTTTATTTGAGTGAATTGTTTCTGGATTTATAATCTAAATGAATATTAAAGGCAAAACACTGTAGGAAAAATTACTAATTATTGACAAAACTGAAATATACTATTGATGTAAACTAGTTTTGTAGCCACTGTATGTATAGAAATAGCCATACTGAAAATAGAAACTATATAGATCCAAATACAACTTCTTAGATCCTGTTATATTTTATATATACTGGACAAAATCCTATTACACAGTTAAATCAGCAGGGCAATGGTGTAATTCATGGGTCAAACAGCCACTAATTAAGGAATCACCACTCTGATTCCTCATTATACATACTTGAGAGGCTTTATACATGACAAGGAATCCAAGTAGTGACTTGTTAATTAGTGGCAAAGTGCCACTGTTAGTTACGTTATTGTTCTTCTACTGGCACAACTACAGGATATGAATTTGACAAAGGTATATTAAAAATTAATTGTCATCTATTTCCTATCTCACTTTGAATATGTCATATATAATACATATATCAAAATAAATTTTGGTGTTGATGAATATGCAATTATCTATATTGAAATAGGCAAATTCTCACAGGGTAGTAATTACCTCACGAATTAAGAGTTTATTCAATATTTAGAGAAGCAGAAAGTCTATAAAAACCTAAGCATCCACAAAAATTTCAATATAAATTGGAAGGAACTGAAATCATCATTCATGAATATGTACTTCAACAGAGTATTCAAACAGAACCCTCTGGTCTGCCTCCATGCACCAACAACTTACTGAGTAATAAGAAGTGCACCAACAAGAATGAGAAAGAAGTGGGAAATGTTAAATGTATTAAAATGTTGCACACTTAGTACCCTAAGAGGGAAACAGATACCTTCCTATTCTTAAGGAACTCTTAAATTAACTTATAAGTTACCTAGAGCACAATTTAGTCACCTTAAATAAAAATACTGGTAATCTATATAATGAACATACTGTATATAGTGAAATATAAACATAAACAAGTTTTAAAAGCTATCAGTCATTACTGCAATAAATTTTGGTTGTGTATTTAATTTTAAAAAGTTTACCTACCAACGTCTAGAATTGTCAACAATCACACCATTATCTATAGAAAACTGGTCTGTTGGAAGACCTGCGATATTCCAGGCTCTTATTTTTATCGGGTCACCAAGTGTTTTACTCAAAGAGAAGACTTCAGAACAAGGTATATTTTTCTCCTATAGAAACAAAACAGATATATCTTTTACCTAGATTTTTTAACATGTAAGCTTTATAAGCTAGATTGTCGTAGATCGTCATTCTATGAAGATCTGGCAGCTACTATTTTAAAAAGTCCCTGACATTCTATGAAGATCTGGCAGCTACTATTAAAAAAAGTCCCCGAGAAAGAGCTGTTGTTCATTCTTAGAGACTTTAACTCTAGAGTTGGTGCTGATTACAATTACAATTCTTGGCCCACTTGTCTAGGCTGTTTTGGCACTGGCAAGATGACATAAAATGGCCAATGCTTGATGGTGTTTTGGTGTTACTATGGTCTTTGTGTCAGCAACACGTTCTTTAATACTAAGCTTCAACACAGAGACTCTTGGAAACTTCCAAGATTGAAGCATTGGCATCAGCTCGATTTGATCCTCACTAGACACTCTAGCCTTCCTAGTATTACAATCATATGCAGTTATCAGGGTACTGATTGTGATACTGATCATAAAAAGATTGTATCACATGAAAAAGGAAGGAAGACCACGTATTGACATCAGCATGATTCGCGATCAGAGAAAAGTGGATGAATTTGCCCAAACGCTTGAGGAAATTCTTCCAGGTCTGGCTGTTGCAAATGCACCTGAACTATGGGAACATTTTAGGAACACTGTTTATAACATTGCCTTGTCCACATTTGGCAAGAAGACCAAAAAGATGGCC